GAGGCAGAGGCAGGCAGATCTCTGTGAGACTGAGGCCAGCCTGGTCTACATAGTAAGTTCTAGGCCAGCTGGGGCTATAGGGAGACCCAATCTCAAAAAACCAAAAGAACGGCCTGTAGAGATGGTCCTGCGGTTAAGAGCACTGGCTGATCTTGCAGAGGACCTGGGTTTTATTCCCAGCAACCACATGGCAGTTAGCAACCATCTGTAACTCCAGTTCCAGGGGAATCTGATGCCCTCTTCTGGCCTCCTTGGGTATTGCACATGACACAGGTACACTTACACACATGTAGGCAATATACTTATGAAGTAAAAATAATAACTAAAATATTTAAAGAAAAACAAAAGAAAAAAGTGCCTGGGTCGCCTTGTTTGACAACTGCTTTATCACTTGTCTGCTACAGCTGTTTAGAGGAATGCATGATGTCTGAGATGATTTGTTTATGAGTAGACAACAGTACAGGTTTGATGTGAGGATTAAACAAAGTAATGCTTGTGACACTGAAATAGCTTCTCTAATCTCTACATGTTTTCTGCAAGGCAGGGGCACCACAGATCAAGAAATACTACTGATATAATGTGCTTCATTATTGCATTTTTTTGGTCTTTTTGAGACAGGGTCTCCTTGTAGCCCCAGCTGGCCTGGCACTCACTATGTAGAGCAGGCTGGCCTTGAACTAACAGAGAGTGCGATTAAAGGTGTGTGCCACTGCTCCTGGCTTAATCACATCTAATTTTTAAAGTTACTACAGGGTGTTGTTTAAGGAATAATTAACTGCACTTCAAATGTTCCAGAGAGCCATACTTGGCTAGTGGTTGCCATACTGAATGCCATCTCGCCAGCCCCTATTGCTTTATAATTTCAAATAAAAAATAAAAAAAATAAGAATATGAAAGAAATTCCTTTAATGTGATAAAAAAGATATAAAACACATAAAAAATGAGCATCACCTGATGGATGATGATATGCAATCAAAGAAAAATAATCAATGGTCCAACCCAGCCCCAAAGCATAATAACCATAACCATTGGCATGGCAAACTGCCTCTATTGGTGCAGTAGTGGCACCGTTATCTGGGGGACAACCAACAGCTATCTAATTGGACTTAAAGCCCTCTCAATAAGAGGGAGCTCATGGGTGCCACTGTAAA